ATACATATAAATGAAAACACAGTCCAATTGTATCTGATATCTCATACTTGAACAAAGGAAAGATATGCAATAAACACATAAAAAGGAAATATATTGACAATTACAAACCTCGCTTTTGCAATTGATCACGTGGTCGTAATTGATAGGTAGAACTACCTTCTACTACTACCCATTCTGTATTACCTTTGTCCTCAGCAAATGATAAATCATTATCATTTTGTCATATCTTAAACCACCCGGCATCTCCCTTCACCCACCCTCTGGTGTCCATCCCCCAGGGAGGAGGTTATATGTAGATCCTTGTAATCGATTCCCCCTTTCCATCCCACCTTCCCTCCACCCTCCAAGTTAAAATGCCTTCCTAATACTAGTTGGGAAGTGCATTCAGTAACAATGAGTGCAGTCCTAGAATCGTACACCCGGATTCCAGGTGCCTTAGGGAAATTGCTGATGACCAGATGCAAGAAGAGTATGCCAAAGGAAAAGTTGAAACCATTGCCAACCAAAAAATGTGTGCATGTATGTTGGTTCTAAGCTGTTGCCGTGAGCAAGGACCCAGGATTGCAGTTACTGTTTCTGTCATGCGTCAGAGACCAGGCTGATGCAAGAAATTTTCAGGTTATTTCTGCAAGTACAAGATACAAGGAACCAGTAAGATTTGCTACCTCCAAACTGCTTAACAATTCCAGTGAAAAATCAATCAAATTATATAATCCAAATTATGTGACCACCCCCCCACCTCCAGGTTTACAATGTACCCAGGAATTGATTGATATCCCAAGCAATATGACAAAAAGCAAGTTCCACCATATTAACAGAAGATAATCCATACCTACATGTCCCCAGCGGTTACCAGTCCTCCACCCCTGAGGTCTCATGCTGCATTGCTACCTACATGCGAGGTCCTTTGTGGCTGACTAGTTACCCGGATAGCCTTGCTTACCTCCCTGAATTTGAATATTCTTACTGATTAAACTTGAAGGAATTATTACTACAAGGGAAGGGTCTGCTACACTCTGACTTCCTAACAAGCTAGATCTTAAACTATGTTACACTGCTGGCACTTTGATCAGCAGCAGGATCAGTCTGTTAGTCTGCCGTCAAGTCACTTGCAACCCATAGCGACCCTGCGGGACAGAGTAGAACTCTTCTCCTGGGGTTTTGAGGCTGTGAATTTTTTTTTTTTTTAGTTGTTTTATTGGTGCTTGATTTTTTAAAATAATTTTATTAGGAGTTCGTACAACTCTTATCACAATCCATACACACATCAGTTGTGTAAAGTGCATTGTACATTCATTCCCCTCATCATTCTCAAAACATTTGCTCTCCACCTAAATCTCTGGCATCAGCTCATTTTTTCCCTTCCCTCCCCGCTTTCCCACCCTCATGAACCCTTGATAATTTATAAATTATTATTTTGTCATATTTGCCCTGTCCTACGTCTTCCTTCATTCACATGTAGATTCTTGTAATCGGCTCCCCCTTTCCAACCCACCCTCTCTCCACCCTCCCAGTATCACCGCTCACACCACTGGTCCTGAAGGGATCATCTGTCCTGGATTCCCTGTGTTTCCAGTTCCTAACTGTACCAGTGTACATCCTCTGGTCTAGCCAGACTTG